AACCTAATTGCGATTCTGCGAGTGACAGAAAGTTCCGATCCAAGAGGAAAGATTACTCATGAATTGTATAATTTGAACAGATGCCTGCCACGAGATAGAGCAGGAGATGAAAGCAGATGGCAAACGTGCAAATTGTAATTTGTTGCAAGCCAATCAAAGGTAAGCCATCAGTCCCGGCATATATTCCTTGTCGCAAAATCTTTGGTTTATTCCTGATTATGAAAATAAAATGAGGAAAAGAATCAGCTGGCAGCTAAACTGTTTTCTCAACTGATATTCAACACAGAATTTCATTCCAAACGAATATAAGGAAACGAGGGAGAAAAATTGAAACTGTATGTTCTGATCAGATCCGTACTTACCTGGATATACCGTTGCGTTCATACTCGCCCGTCGTGCAAAGACACAACGTGTGAGAATTCAGGTGCGGTGGATAGATGTTCCTGTCCAGAGACAAGCTGGATATATATTATGAAATGAACAATTCAAACAGATTTGCGCACCAAAAGAAAAAAACATGAGAGCAAATAGTTTGCTTGTAAATTGTGTTTTAATTTTGTTTGGAGCCAATCAAAGGCGGAGCATGCTCTGTTTGTGTGAGTAGTTTTGTCGTCACGAACACTTTTTTCTGTATTTCATGTCTAGTCTTGTTTCCAGCGCTTACGTCGTCAGTGGACGTAGAACTAATATGGACATGTACTGTAGATAGAGATTGAAAATGGTTGTTTGACAGCACTGGGGTGGACACAGGAAGGTCTACGGGCAAGAGAGACACTGGAGACAACATGAACAATAAAAGTGGAGAAGGAGACCGAGGAACAATCCTAGCAAAATCAGCAGCGCAGACCAGGACAGGCACAGAGAGAATTAAGGTTAACGTCCAGAGTTTTGCACGATTACTAATCTGGTTAAACATAGCATTGGCTGAACGCGGCCTTATTGATCAAATTTACATATGTACATACAACGAGTGTTGACAAAACAGCAAAACTGCAGGAGTTATTCTTTTACGAGTTTGATACTTACAATTGCAGTTCTGTCTCCTCTCGTGACCCAAAACAACAAAACAAGCCCCAGGTGAAAAATGAAATTTGGCATCAGTCTTGAGCGCATAAAGACGAGTCATTGGCAGGCTAATAAGATCTGGATATCCTGTGGCGTTTTCTATAGAAGGTATATGTCATAAGTTTTGACATTCATGTAAAATTAACAATTTTGGGAACGTTTAGTGGGATAGGACTCTTCATGCGTATCCTTCCGACACAAAAATAACAAAATTAACACGCTTTCAGATATTACTCAGTCTGACAAACTTTTTGTCAAATTGTTAGTTAACAACCTGGAGTGCCTGAACAATATCGTTGGACCGTTTGTCACAGTTGTCCGTTAACCTTATCTATATTACGAAAGCTGACAGAAGACAAAGCCAGTGTTCAAATCCATAGTTCGCCGCGCCGATTCGACGCGGTATTACTTCTAACGAAGCTTACTCATTAGTTATCCGAGAAAATAGTGTATTCATCAAGTATGTACTTCCTTCTGAAAATGTTGAAAGCTCCCTCTTAAACTCTATAGGAAAAGAATTGTTTTTCAGGCGATTTTGAATCATTCAAGGCTCCAATTTGAAAAAGATATTCCGTCAACTTCGGAAAGTAACGACCCCCCCACCCCCGAAAGTAGCGAGGCAGTTGTCCGTTTCGTAAACAGTCGATGCCATTTTCGCGGCACTTAGAAATGTTTTTGTCAAGGAATTTTTCTCTACTAGATTAAAGAAAAAGAACATTTGTAAGTAGCCACCCAGTAACGAAGCCGGAACAGAACCTCTGTTTCCTAACATCCTTCTGCCACTACACTACCAGGTTGATCCGCCAAATCTCCGCAAAATTTAATTATAAAAAGAGACTTTCTTAAATATTAATGATAGGGTTGCCCCAACCATCAAATAAAAGCTAACCGCAGGCAAACCAGTGTGAATATGAACAATTAAGCATTTGGTGAGTGCGTTTTACTCTATCAACAAATTATAACCAGTTTCTACCGTGTCCAGGCTTAAACTAAAGCAGATATGGCATCGTCCATTCTGAAAGGCTTGGTTACCAATGATGGCATCGATCGTTAAAAATGGCATCGGCTGTTTACGAAACGGAAATCAGCAGTAGCGACCCCCCAAAAGTAACGTCAAAAAATGATGCCCCCTTCCGAAAGTAGCGAGCCCGCCCCTATCCCCACCCCCGAAAATAGCGAGACCAAGGATCAAAGATTTATTTTTCCAATCAATATATAGTCTAGTGAAATTTACGTACGGTACTAGCTGATTGTAATGAAGGCACTCTTCAACAAGGGACTGTTATCGCTTGTGCCACGCTGCACGAAATGTGTGAAAGTCACTTTGAGCTTCTTCAGTTCATGTTGCGCCATATTAAACAAAACTCGCTGAATGTCATCAAGTAACAGGGCCGGGACGTACTAAAAGGACCTTTTCTTCAAACTAAAATTGAAAATTCTGTGTCATTTTCAACAGGAGCGTATTTAAAGACGAACGTTTTTTTAATTAAAATTGAAAACTCGACGAAAAACATCGGTTTAATTAACAAAAAAAAAAAAATGCTGTAAAGCTGTTTATATGGTTGGTTTGTGGGAATCCAATAATTCAGATCGGGACAAAATTTTTCCGTTTCTTTCATTAAAAAGATAAAATTAGGAAACGATTAAGTTGACATTTCCCTTGCGGATGATAACATGGCAGCTAAAAATATAAAACAATTCCCTGAATTAAAGACTTTCAAAAGCTAGAAAACGTACTCTGGTTAAAAAAGTTTAAAATTACTAGAGCTTTTGACTGCCAGTCTGCAATCTTTGAGAAGTAGTGAACAAAAAGCGCGTTCGTTAAAATACACACGGCACGTGAAGGAAAAAATTTATTTCACGAATTCCATATTAGCATTTTATTTTTTCACAAGTATCTTTTCATTTTTTTTAACCTTTTTCTACTTCATACTTTTGTTTTACTTGACACTTTCTCGTGTACGAGAAACGTACCTTGTTTCAGAGTTTCATTCATTTTGCTTTCGCGTTGTACAATGGATTGAGCTTCGGTCGATGTTCCTCCTAGTCCAAGAGAAATAAGCAATGATTGAACACGGCTTTCACTATGAAGTGTGGTTCAGATGCTTGTTCCAGCGGTAGATCAATTAGACTCAAGATGAGGGCAGATAGTTAACTGATGAATTGTATTATAATTTTGTTCAGACGTGTTAAGCCTCTTGCGAGATCTTCCTACAAAAATCTTCCTTGTGGCTTAAATTCATCTCATTTATCTTATTATCTCGCAAACAAAAACGCCGTTAGACACAAGATCTATCTGACAATAACAGGATGACATTTGTTTAGATTAATATTCTTTATAAGCCATTCTCTTGAGTAGAAATGAACCGCGAGTGGAAGAAATTTACTGCGTGTTGATTTGAAAGTCAGTGGTAATTATTTAAAACTATAAACATGATAAAAGATCCACCGGCTGAAGTTGGTTTTACCAGCTATCTATTAAAGCTTGTCTTTTATTTATTATCGTATTTGTCAAGTTCAATTTTTCATCCATCTTCAGAACCAGTCAAACACCAATAACTGGAAATTTCAAAACAGGAGTAAATTAAAAACAACTGGGCTAAGTTTTTGCCGTCTCGAAACCGTCAAAATAATGATTTGCGGTTTAGCCTTCCGACGTGGAATTCTGGGAAGTACGGAGCCAAAACAAGCAAAGCTAGGCAAGCTCACTTTATGTGCCTAGGAGGCAGGTCGACCTGTAAGAGCTACCTTGTTTCGATTTGTTATTAGGAATCGTTTGATAGCGATTAGATTTTCACTGTTATCTGGCTGAATATAATTCGGCCCAAAGATACGTTAAAATAGATTAAAGCAAGACTTATTTCATTTATTGGTATTATTGTTGGTGATAGGACGACAAATGTAATTTCATATAATATTGGCATTTTTAAGACGTCCATGCATAAATCAGGTACGCGCGGATCTCTTTGTCAAAAGGAGTTAGAAGCCTCGTGCCTCTGCATTAAAGAACTAACATGGCATACCTTTAATAGTTGGCTTGCTGGACCATTGATGAGCTATACAAACGAAAAGAGATTCCGAAATTTAAGAATCGTGTCGATACACGCGCGTCTTACATATCCACATGTAGAGGAATGGTCTGCGAGCACGCTTTCTTGACAGCGGGTATTGCATTAGAGTAACGGCTGGTGGAACTGATGTGTATTTTACAGTAAACAAAATTCACATTGATTTTCACCGAGTTATGACGAGTATTGACGGTATTCTCGTACAGGCGGGAAAAAGCTGCAAATTTTGCTCTGCCCAGCAGCGTCGTCCAGAGCATTTCTAAAGTTGGGATCCAGTCAAGCTGCTAAGTATTACAGATCGGTCCAGTTGTATAGGGCCATGTTTCAAGACTGCACTGTACGAAAGAGAAAGAGAGGTATCTTTATGAATCTCTTAGTGCTTGATGTACCTGGAAAAATTAGGAATATAGACATCGTTCTAGGTTATTTGTTTGAAAATAATTTTTTTCCAACATAAGCGGTTTCAAATAACATTGTAAACAGGGTTCACTGTGTAAAGTCATTTACTATTTTCTTGCTGAAAAGTAAAATGAGAGAAAAATAAATATCTTGCAGTTGCAATTATTCTTAATCTTTTACGTCTTTCGCCTGTACTTAATAAACAAAAAATTGGTTTGTTTAACGATGTACTAACGGCCTTGGCAATTTGGACCAGCTCCCTTTATTAAGAAACCCCCGGCTTGATTTACAACTTACTGTCTGTGTGCAAATTTTGTCTGGGTTTAACGTAATTAAGAGTTTGCAGTGCGTTTGAACATTAGGCTGGATAAAGATGTAGACGAAACTTGATAAGCGCCGTTTCCCCGTTTCTAATAGCCGCGGTATACTATACATTGTAAATACAATGTTTTTCGTTACGTGGTTGGCGAATGTTTTCTTAACGGGTAACAGAAATTAAAACATTGTGTCTAAATTTAGGTGTGGCTTATCTCTTTAAACATTTTATAGTTGACCTCTCTCGGTTTTTGGTTTGTATTTCCATGATTTTTTAGGCACAGAATGGGAGGCTACGAAATTTAGCACCAATATAGATTTTATTATTTTTCGATTACATTTTTGACTATATGCGCGCACGCCTTCGCAGGTTGCACACTATGAGAACGAGCCTATGACCGTTTATTTCTGATTGAAACTTCAGGCGGTCTTTGCACAACAACTGTTGCGTATTTTTCGCGAGTTTAATTGTCGAGGATTGTACCTAACTTTTTTTCATTGTAAAATGGGTGCTGTTATTCGTATAGACGATTCACAAACAAGATTGTAAGTCAGTGAATTGTGGAATGAATGGACCGATAATTCTTCACCCGTAACTAATTGATGTGCGCGAGCTAGTGGCTAACACGTGTAATGGAAACAGACGAGAAACACAGTGTTGTTTCCAGATGACTTATAGTTCTTTTGAAGCCCTGTAAAAGCCTAATGGTGTCCGATTCCTTAAAAGGATTCATGTAAGTTGGTAATCATTTATTTAAATAACGTTAACAGTCGAAGTGCGAAGATAATTTGAGCAATTTCAAGTTCCAAGTTATGACCGCAGGTACCGTCCCATTCGTAGTAAGGAAGACAAAATAAACGGGCAAAATATTTGGTTTTATAGATAGGTATTCATGCAAACGTTATTGTGACTTTAATTTAATAATTAGATATTTAATTGTACTTCTGTACCGAGAAAATATTAACGGCAAATGGCTTACGGAACTTTCAATCTATATTGTTTTACTCAGTAAACACAGAGCGTCCTCATTTTATGGTGTTCATTGTCAGAAAAGGTCTTATTCAAACGGCAGCCAACGACGTAAACTTTGGAGCCAACTAAATCAGTTTAAAGCCTTACGAGTTTCTTTTCAAAAGGGTTTCTTTTACATGGCGAAATATCATGGTGTTAGGCCCATAAAAAGAGAAATCGTTAAGTGAAGTGCTTTCTGAAGTCTGTTTATTTCCATACTTTCTTCAAGAGAGAAAGCTTTATATTTCACTCAATGATTTGATATGAAAAACAACTAATAACTAATAAAACAACTAATAAAATTCATGTTGTTAGGTAATAATACTGCAATTCAAGAAATTTATATCTCTGGGAAACCTAATTTATGACAATAAACTTTGGCTTATTCTAGTATCGTGCCGCCTAGCAAATAAAGTTCAGTGTTTTCACGTTAACGAAAGGCGTACGGAAAATATTTGCCTCCTATTTCTAGCTGCAAAAGAAAGCAACAAATCAACGAAGCCAAACCCGAGAAAAAGATTTCAAAAGAACTACAAAAAGGTGTTTGTCGTACGCGAGAACACGGCCGAGAGGCAAGTAATTAGCAGATGTTTCGTGCATCGCAAAGACTCAATTGAAAACCCTTTAATTTAAAGTGTGAAAATGTCGGTCTCGGCTGAACTTTGAAGAACACCCGTACTTTTCACAGGTGTTGTCACAATTTGACAGTCCGTTTTCTTTGAAACTTTTGTCTAAATGATTTATGAGCCTCTGTCGGTGAGCAACTGCGCGTGCGTGCTTTGCTGTTTGGCTTTCACAAATCCTAAAACCCATGAATTCATAACCTTGAATTAAATTTTACTGCTGCATTGATTTTGAACTGGGATTTTAGTAAATTTTTTTTCCATTACTCCGAGGTAAATTTGGCAAAAGCTCTCAGCTAATTCACTTTGCTTCTAATTACTCAAGCAGTTTGACGTCTCGAAAAGAGGTTCCGTTTTATCCTTTTATATAATTTATATGTTCTAATTTGCCAGACACCTTTTAAATCTCGGTTTAATTTGCTAAGTGGGAGGTTTGTGGTTTTACCATTATTCTTTTTGCTGCAATAACAAACTACTTATTGACTGGACAAAAGACAAAAATTGATTGAGTCTGAGAATATATCAAAGTACAACTTGATTCTTTGGCAACAGAGCTTAAGTACTTTTTATAATATCAGTGTTTTGTCACAAGCAGTTTCCAGAACAACCAACTTAGCCCCGTAGAAATTTTTCATTAAAAGAAATCGCAAACGAAGAGAGTTGCCACATGGCAGCAGCTAAAAACATTGACCTGAATTGCGGCGATTTCCCTACCACGTATTATTGAATTGTTAGTAACTAAAGGATTAGACTGTGACCGTTCAATTCATTTTATTTTATTCCCATCCTGTAACAATACAACTCTTGTTTTCTTTATTCCACTGGCGTCAGTTCTGGAGCTTGGACAATGCAAAACCAACTCAGACCTGTTTACAGAACTGTCTCCTCCTTGATTATATTTAAGTCAGTTGATTCTTGTCATATAAGCTGCTGTTTCTCGCGTAGAATGTAGCGTGGCGTAAAAACATAGCGTCAGGTTTAGTTTAATATTATTTAATTGCTATTCTGTTCGTCGATGCTAATGTTTTCACCACCAAAAACAGCCCATTAACTAATTGAAAAGATCCTCGGAGCTTGAGTGAAGACCAATATCAATAATTTGATTGCTTTCTCTGTGTGTGTTCTTTTATTTCATAAGAAAACGCAATTTTGGACGCAGGCCTAAAAGACTCAGTGAACGATAGAACATAAAAAACTTTCCTTTAAAACACGTTTTAAACTGATTTGTCGGGATTCTTTTTTGCTTTGTTTTTTTTTTTTTTCAAGTGAATACGATCTGCGTGTTATACGTAGCAAGTGGCCTCGCTTCCTGGTGAGTAAATATATTTTCCAGGAAGCACTCTAGCTTACTTTCTACTTTTTCGTCGTTGAAATATATGTAAAAAGAAGTGTTCTCAGTCTGCTGTAGTTTCCATGGCGAGTCGGGTTTTGTTCTTTTGTTAGATTTCCACCAAACGAAGAAATCTTTTTCCAAATTTATGAAAAAGGGTAATCTATTACACGAAATGTCGGCTACAGTACGAAGGAATAAATCAGATCCGAACAAAAGGTTCTTTGATTAAAATCGTCATGGCATCACAAAGAGATATAATTTTGAGTGGCGTTTCTTTTCCAATCATTCCCGTCCGCACCGTTAGTATTGTACTTTTTTCCAAGCCAATTTAAAAGTAGCTTTTCTTTTTACGAGATGTTTGCAAAGGACTCGCACAAAAATGTAAAACAAAGACAAAGAAAATATTACACTCAAGGAACAAACTCAAAGCGGTGTTCTTTGACAAAAGATACGCTGTTAGCATATGCGTAGCTCAATTATCTTTGATTTACGAGTGTTAAGAAGAAAAGAGACTGAAAGGGGGAAAGAGCGTTGCGCGAGAAAAGCAAAACAAAGATCGGGTTTGCAATTTAAGCGCTTCAATTTATCTTGGGCGTTTTCAAAAAATTTTCCATAACTCTTGTCTGGATTCAGCCGTAAATTCAGCGCCATGTATCACCTTAGGAAGTAATTCAAATCTTTCTGGGGGTTTTAGTGCTAACTGTTAAATCCTTGAGGCTTAGCAACAGAAATTCAATTAATCACGCGGTTTATTACAAACGTTCAGTCTTACCTAAAGATAGAGCGAAATTAAATGAGTCAAAGCATTGCGGACAGCGAATTAAACTTTGTTTTCTAAGCAGGTTTTTATGTTCCCTACCCTTTACTACATCTTCATGTTAAATTACGCCGTAGTTGTTGCTTAACTTTAGAGATAAATAAAGTTTGCTTGCGAAAATTGTAATTTGTGGGTTGTTTGGTGATAATCAGTCAAAGCCTAACCCAACATAACCGTTTTATTACCAAATACTACTAAGCCACCAGTTGTAATCGTTTAAAGACGATTTCCGTGTGCACACGGAAAAAATGCTAAGTGAACTCCTCGAGGGAGGAAGTTTTCTGGGGTCCAAGCGTGAAAAAGTTATTTACTGGGCGTATTTCGATTCAAAACATGAATAGCAATTACCATTTTCCTCTGATGTGGGTATCGTTTAGTGAGGTAATTAAGGCTAGCAGCACTTCGGAGCAAACGAAATTATTCATTAGGAGTACCCTTAATTGCGAAGCCTTAATGTAATCCCTCCATAATGTTATTCTCATCTATAATGAATAGTTTGCGGGGAAAGAAGATCGTGAATCTGACTTTATTTTCAAATGGAGTAAAAAGTTTACATTTAAAGTTTGCCGATGTTGTGATTGAGCAATAGTAAAGTATTGACATATCACAATAGCGAAATATAAATAAAGTACGATTCCATGAACATGAGCTTCCTGCTTTCAGAGAGCTTTTTGTAACTTTAAGTAACGTATCCATATAAATAAGAAGTGCGGCAGCTGTTCTGCGAATTTCACTCTTCTAGTACAAACCGTACAATTATTTCTTGCCATAAACACGAACAACTCTCCAATTAGGCCACAAAACTGACGAACAATGTGGAATAATTAACGGATTGCTGTGTTAAACAATATCTCTCTTTACAAGTGCGCTTCCCCCATTGTTTGGCGCACTGATCGAGCATGCGCGCTGTTGCACGTGAAGGCTCGTGATTGGTCAGTTTTTGGCAGGTGCGTTGCACATTACATTGCTCCTCGAGAAAACCATTTCAGTGTCAATCTAGGTCTTGACGCTCTGTTAGGTTCTCTAATGCCAATATTTACTTTAGCTTCAAGCAAGTTGTTTAGTTACCATTCAAAATGCCAAAGTCGTTCTTGGTCAAGAAATCAACTGGAGTATCATCCCAACACAGCAGGGGAGCCGAAGGTAAACCACTTTTTTGACATCTTTGTTGAAAGTAGCTAAAATCACGACTTTTACAAAATATTGTGGCTTGTGGATGTAACAAGTAGATGTCAAATATGCCCGCCTCCAATCCGGCTAATTTTCCGTAAAGCGAATTTTCTCGGTTAAAAAGATCTAAAACGCGCTTGCACTTTGGTTTAGAATCAGTGCCAGAGGCCTCACAGGTGATAAAATTAACTACACGTTTTAACATATCCCGGCGTAGGAAAATCGGTTAAATAAATGAGACTCCCCGCCGAGTGTACTCTGAAGAAAGCGCATTCAACCCGCAATTCAAAATCAACAAACCACTATATCTACAAAAGTAAATAATCAATTCACTTAAAGAAAAAATCTTATTCCAACTCGGATAACATTATCATAGTCAATAGTTTAAAATCCGACAATCAAGGCCCTTGAAAGAATTGGTCTGCTAAGTGATCCTCTAGAATTAAACGCTTTCCACTCTACACCGGAGAGAAATTATTCTCCAATCATTGAATCGGCTCGAAACTCGAAACGTTGGCCGTTTACAGTTCAAAGCGACAAATCTGCGAGAGTCGAAGTTTGCAGAGTAGGAAATGGCGATAAAATTGCTAATGATCGAAAATCATAAATCCGTGAGATTAGGGGATATCTATAACGAGGAGAAACCGCGAAACAGAAATTAAATTCTACTATGTACACAAAGAGTAGTTTATAAATCTATATCATGTTTTTATTAGTCGTAATTTTGTGGTAAATAAGCGTGATTCTGAGAGTGCATCGAAATGCTAATGTTAACAGTG